CACCTGAGTTTTTCAAAGATTCTAGGCGTGATGGTTCATGCCTCTAATCCCAGCACTTGGAAGGCCATGGCAGGAGAATCCCATGAGTTTGAGGCCACCCTGGACTGCGTAGTGAATTCAAGGCCACCCTGGACTACATAGCAAGACCCTGTCTCAAAGCAAGAAAGATGTAGAGATCAAGGCCGGGGCCTGACACAGGCCAGCTCCACTCCCAGCCCAAGACTCTGGACATTGTGATTTTTGTTGTTGTTGGTACCGGGGATCGAACTTGGGTCCTTGTGCTTGTAAAGCAGGTAGCAGAACCGCTGAGCTAAATCCCAGCTCTGGACATTGTAATTTTTATCTTCACTCTCCCGTCTCAAAGCACTGACATTTCATTTACGTAGTTCTGAATGTGGTGTGTGCCAAGCACAACATGCCAACTGCTGGATGGCACCCAGAAGTCACCATTTGCAGCTTGTTTGCTCTGGGGATCGATGGGGACTTGGTTTGGGGAGCCTGACCAAGCCTGAGTCCTCCCACTGTCTGACAGGGGCGGGCCCTTGTCCCTGGGGACTTGTGGGTTTCAGGGAGTATGGGAGGATGTGATGAGGGAGTGGCCGTGGGGAGGGTGGGGTGTGAGATGCTGGGCATTTGGGGCTGGAGGCAGCAGCTGCTCCACCTGGGGGGGGCCCTGCAGCATTGTCCTAGGGCTACGGTGACACCGCTGCCCTGGGTGTAAATAGCAGGGTTGTGTGTCTTGGTTCCGGAGGCCACAAGTCTGAGGCCCAGACTGGGCTGGACGGAATGGGTGCAGGCCTCTCCCCGAGGCTGGTGACACTGGCCACCGTGGGCGGTGCTTGTCTCATGAGAGCATCACCCGCCTCTGCCTCCATGGCCACATCTGTCTGTCTGTGGTCCTCCTTAAATTCTTTTTTTTTTTGGTACTGGGATTGAACTCGGTCGGGCCTTTGCACTTGTGAGGCAGGCGGGGGCACCACTGAGCTAAATCCTGGCCCTCTTCCTTTTTTTAAAAATTAATTTTATTTAATCCCTTTCCCCCACTTCCCTCCCTATGTACAAAAGCTTTGTTTCCATTTTTTCCTTCTATTTTCACTTCTTTTTTCTTATCCTTTCCTTCACTTCTCTCCCACTTCCTATAAGGATGCCAGACCTGTTGGGTTAGTTTACCCTCGACGGTCTCATTTTAATTTAAAAATACCTCTGTGCAGACCTCTTGCCAAGTAAGGCTATATTCCTGTTTTGTTTTGTTTGTTTTTTGGGTACCTGGGATCAAACTCAGGACCTTGCCCTTAAGAGGCAGGTGTGGTGCCACTGAGCTAAATCCCTAGTCCCTTGTTTTATTTGTTTTTTGAGGGGGGTCTCATTGTGTATTGCACATGCTAGGCCTTCAGTGACCACTCCTTTAAGGAACAAATGAAGAATGAATTTCCTTTCAGGCCTCTTCAGGCCTCTGTTTCCCCAGGTGAGAGAGGATGTGTGTGGCTTTGGCCATGATCCCAAAGACTTGTCCCTGGCTTGGCAGATCCTCAGGGCTATTTGGGGCTCCTCTGCTGTCCTGTGGAGCTGAGAATGAGGGAGGCTCGAGATGCTGAGCCCCGAGATTGGGGGCAGCCCCTCCTAGCCTCTCTGCCCAGGAGCTGGTTGCAGGTGGTGGGCGCAGGGGTAGGCAGAGATCGGTGCAGCCCAGGAAGTGGTGAGCGTTTCCTGCAGGCCTGGGCCACAGCTTCCTGGCAGAGGAAGGAGCCAAATGCTGACCAGCGGGGCCATCTGCTGCTGGAAGGCTCTGGTGTCTCCTTGGTCCTCTGGGTGGGGGTGGGGAGGTAGGGGGTGGCCCCTGTGTTTCTAGGGCCTGGGCCAGTGCAGGGCCTCCTGTCACTGTCAGGCCCAGGCACAGACAGAATAGTTGGCATACCTGGGCCCCTGAAACCGGACGCCCAGCCTGCCTTGACCTCCTTGCAGGGGCCTGCCCTGCGGATTGCCTGGCAGAGACCACAGCAGGGTTAGAGTTGCTGGGTTATGTTGTTTTTATTTATTTATTTATTTTTTGGTTTTTTGAGACAGGGTCTCACTATGTAGTTCAGACTGACTTGGAACACTGTGTAGCGCAGGTTGGTCTCGAACTCACAGCAGTGCTCCTGCCTCAGCCTCCCGAGTGCTGGGATTACAGGCGTGCTCCACCATGCCTGGCTGGGTTATGTTAACTCTTGTCTTTTTGTATGATTTTTTTTTCTTCTGGGAGAATGTTGGTATCTCATCTTTTTTAGGGGGAACACTGGGGATTAAACCTAGGGACTTCACACTAAGCTACATCCCCAGCTCTTTTTAAAACTATTTTACTTTTTAAAAAAATAGTTTACTTTGAGACACAGATTTGCTAAATTGTAATTCCCTAAGCTGGCTTCAAACTTGTGGTCCTCCTGCCACAGCTTCCTAGAGCACTGGGCTTATAGGCATACACTGCCACATCCAGCCGTGTCAGAGTCTCAGAGCCATTTGGGACACTTGGGGAGAGGACGCCCTCTGTCGAGACCACCTCCTCCTGTCAGTGCCGGAGACCAGCCCTGCGTCTTGTGGCTCCAGAGGTTCCTCATCCCATGTAGTGGCCCTGACCCTGGTCTGAGCCACGCAGTCTCCTCCCTTCCTCCCCATCCAGACCTCGAAGGCCAAGGCTGATGCCAGAGGCCACTGGACTCTGGCTGGCCAGGGAGACTGATTAAAAGCAGCTTCACTGGCAGCGGATGGCTTGGTGTCCTTGGCTTGCAGGGGAGATCAATAAGCAGTTTTTCTGTTGGCAAGAAGAAAATCCCCATTGACTCTCCTGGTGCTGCCCGGTTTAGTTTTCTTTTCAGGAATGCTTGGCTCCCTGGCGGGGGGCAGCCTCCCTGTCCTGGGGGCCTGGAGCACTTGGCCGAGGCCGTGGGGCACACAGGAGTAGGCAAGTCTTGGCCACTAGTCCCCCTTAGAACATTCTGGAACACAGCCCAGCTGGTAGTGGGCATTCCTCAGGTACTGTTGGACAGAGCAACTTTTAAGTACTTGAGGCTCTGAGGGTTTTTTCCAGTACAGTACTAGGGATTGAACAGGGGCTTTTGCATGAGCTGGGGATGCAGCCCTCTTTTAGTGTTTTATTTTTTTGATACCAGGGATCGAACTCGGGTCTTTGCACTTGCAAGGTAGGTGGCAGAACCACTGAGCTAAATCCTCGGCCCCTAGTGTTTTATTTTTGAGGCCAGTCTTACTAAATTGCCCAGGCTGGGTTCAAACTTGGAATCCTCCTGCCTCAGCCTCCCACAGTGCTGAGATTACTGATATGTACTGCCGTACCCATCTTCAGTTTCACTCTTCATTTCAGTGCAGAGTTAATCCTGTTAAGTGTTCCCCATGCTGGGCAGCCATCACACCATCCATCTTCATATATTTTCACAGCTCAGAAGGAAATACATGCCCTATAAACAGGTCTTCTGTCCATTCCCTGCAGATCGGGGAGCCTCTCCCCCCTTACTCCATGAATGGACTATACTCGAAAAAAATTGTGTATTCCTAGGAGAGGAATTGCTGGCCCTAGAGTAATTCTACATTTAACTTTTTGGATGGTACACACCTGTCATCCCAGCCCTCAGGAGACTGAGGCAGGAAGATCACCTTGAGTTTGAGGCCAGCCGGGCCTACATAGTATGACTTTGTTTCTAAATAAATCAAATGAAATAATTGAATCTTGGTGGGGGAAGTGTTCTGACATAGAGGGGTGACATGCTTTTCTCAGCTGGGTTCCCCAGGGAGCCCAGGCTCTGCCCCCCACTTCCCTTCCTCTCCTAGTGCACAGTGGCACCAAGAGGTGACGTCCTGTTTGCCCATGGAATCTCTCCTGAGCGCCCACTGCCTTCCTGATTCCCAGAGGCCCCTCATGTGCGTGACGGGTGCAGAGCTACCACCCAGTCTAGGAACCAGGCACGGACTCATTGAGTTCCTCCTGGTACATTTGTCCGGCAGGCTTTGTTAAACAGGAACGGAAGGTTAATATTCTGTCTGGCCAGGGAGAGGTTGGCAGCCTGAGGGGGTGTGACAGCCTCTGTCTCTTTACAAAATTGAGGAAACATTCACATGTTGTAAAATTAATCTTTTGGCAGCGCTGGAGATTGAAACCAGTGGCTCACCCATGCTAGGCAAGCACTCTACTAATGAGTTAGGTCCCTGCATGGTTTTATTATCTTAAAATTTGAGGCAGGGTCTCACTAAGTTGCTCTGTTAGGCTTGAACTTGCAGCCCTGCCTCAGCCTCCCAAGTAGGAACTCTTGAGGCAGGAGTTAGATCCCTGCCCACTGTCATTGCCCCTGCAGGTGCCCGCTGCGGATGGGAGAGCCCGGCGCGGCGAATGACACCTCCCACGCACAATGTCATCGTGCGTCTCTAGCCAGCGGAGCGGCGACCAGGCCGCCCCCCAGGATGGCAGCGGCGAAGGCCCGAAGCCCTGTGAGGCCCTGCAGGGCCTCTCATCCCTGAGCCTACGCCTGGGCATGGAGTCCTTCATCGTGGTCACGGAGAGTGA